CACCCCGATCTTCCCCTCCTAGGGCCAGGCCTCCCCCGTGGGAGCCCCTGTTTCAGCCAGGCGGCGTGAGGAGATCCGAACCTGCCCCAACCCCCGGGGTGCCCACCCGCCTTCAGCCCTCCGGGGGGGACCAGCCCATCCCAGGGGCCTCCTGGGGCTGGGCGATGGGGGGTGGAGGCAGGTCCCTCCTTCCGTTTCCCCTCTTGTCCTGCCCCGTTGCTTCTCGGCTGATCTGGGAAGCGGTTGCCTCTTTTTGCTGTCACAGTGTCTTGCTGAAGTTGCTGCTTGCTGCCATCTGCCCTGCATGGAGAAACCGCCCTTTCTGTGACTGCGATTCTGGAGCCTGCGATGGCTCCCATGCAACTTGGTTATTTTATTGGCGTTACTCAGTTTGTGTACCGTGGCAGTGAGGTCTTTCTGCCTTTATGGATCCCGCAGGATTTGGTGTTGGGAACGCTGAGATCAGATGAGTGAGGTGGATGCCATTGGCGTAACGTGGCTGGAGAGCCAGACTGGTTTAAACACTTCCAGTAATACCCCAAACAGCTGTCAGCACCACAGGGGCTGTGCGTTTCTGCTTTCTTGGCCGATCTTTCCTTCACTTGAAGCCACTTGCTGAGAAGTGAGCAGTGCTGAGGCAGGTCAGGGGGCAGGATGTCTGCCCGAGAGTGAGATGGGGCCTGTGTTTTATTCTCAGCTGCTGGCGGTTGCGTTCGTGTTGGATCGAGCCAGACTTGAGACTCCTGCATTATTTTATAGGCTTTGGTGCTGATACTGGGCAGATCGATCGGTGTCCATCTCCGGAGGGAACAGGAGGCTATGGGGTACTTCTGGTTTTTAATTGTTGTTACTTATTTGGGAAATACTTTCTATCATCCAAAGCAGTTCTTAGAAAAAGATTTTAGGGCTTCCAGCCATCCTTGCTTCCGCCAGACCAGTTAAGAAAAGTTCCTTCGGATAATGTCTATCCAAGATTTTGTTACGCATTTGGGTTTAACTTCTTTCCCTGTGCCTGGGAGAAGGAGAT